CAACTCGATCCTGCTAGCAGCAGATTTGTGGTGCACGATCGATTCCGTCGAAAACTATGCTGTTCATGTGCAAGGAAGACAGACTCTTCTAGATAGGCTGTTAATACGTCAGCAACAATAGCTTCCATAACCTTTGACAGGACCGGGAGAAGGGTTACAGGACGGTAGTTGGCTGGAGCTGAACGGCTACCGCCCTTGTGAATTGGGGTTATGATCCCACATTTCCACATCTCGGGTACATACATCTGATCGAAGCAGCGTTGGAAGAATCGTGCCAGAGGCTCTGCTAAACTTTCTCCCATTACCGCAAGGGACTTAGGGTGAATGTTGTCGATTCCAGGAGAGCTGTGCTTACGCATACACAACAACTTCTTTAATACCATCCCCGCCGTGAAAGTTATGTGCGTAAGTTTTGGTTGTAAAACAGCTGCTGATAAAGGAACAGATGACCAAGTGAGCATTAATAGGCATAAGTTTGAATGGTCCAACATAAACGGGATAGCACTTAGGTTCACTCTGTGTATTGTTTGATCGACCGCTTGTTCCTATTGCGGATGCGTAACTTTTATGGGTTTTATGTGTTTAGTGATTAACGGTGGTGGAGGATGTAGCACGGAATTCAGGAGAAAATCGGTGACTGAGTGCTTTTGAGGTGGAAAAATATGTTCGTATCTGGAGAACTTGAAAGCAAATTAATCATAGCTTAATGAGGCTGATGGAGATTTTACACACGGTTAAATCCATGTACAGAGGAGTAGTTCTCGGCGTAGGGGTGGATTACAAATAATCCAGCTATCCGTTAGGTGACATATGGCTTATTATATATGAAGGTAGCACAGTGTTCTTGAAGAATGTCATCTCTAGCTGGGGTCCCGTTGATGGTTCGTAGTATTTGACAGAATTGATTTTATCATAACCTGAGCTGGGAGTGTAGTTTTGTCACTCACATATGGAGAGCACAGCTTCTAAGGGAACTCGTGCAGAGAAACAATATCGATTTACTTAACTGAGAAACATGCCACGGCTTAGTGGCGTATATCATTTGGTCTAGAAAAGGTATAAATAAGTAAATAAAAAATAATTTGTATTTTCCTCGGTAATTCGAGGTGCAGTCCAACTCTGTGGTCTGATCAATGTGTACAACAGGATCGCAAAAAATAATCAATTTGTTCACGCTTTTTACGATGGGTCCAAAACAGGTATTAAAGTAATTCGCAGGATTAAGGTATTAAAGAAATTAAAAAACCTGGAACAATAACATATGCAGGTTTGAACAGATTTCCAGTTAAAGTAATACGGCCACTCATGGAATTGTCCCCAGGGACCTGTTTCCATGTAAGGTATTCCCTCGAATGCTTTCGCCCGCACTTCTATGCAACACCTGGCCGCGTGCCGGTGTGGATAGTAGCGTATTAGCCATCACCTCTTTATCATATGTTCTGTTCTTTTTAGGGCTGCTTTAATACATGTATTATGAGCGATGAAACCTCAGCGCAGTCCGTCATGCCGAATGCTGTGTACTCAGTCAGTATTCTTGACGGCTAGTCTAAACAGACACGTGCACACAACCCCAGACACACAACCGATCATACAGTTATGGCACTTTTTTATACGCCAGTCAATTTGTGGCAATGTGTCTTGCATAGGTAAAGTCTTTTACAAGCTGGAAGCTATAATCAGTCACTACAGCAGATCAGCCCAATCGTGGTCAACAATGAAATAAGGAAGAATGTAGAGAAGAAGAATCACATGAAAGAGGTACTATATCGTTAATGTAAAAATATGCAGGTATGTTTTTTAAATCGGCGTAGAAATGGATTGAGCCGATCGTACGATCAAATTGTGTGGCGTGACAGCAGCAGCCAAACAACAGTACGAGTTGTCCGTAGGCAAAAGTCGCATAGGGAATCCGTTATTGCCATCACTGAATTCCAGTATATGTTTCTGGACTGTTAACTTCAGAAAAGAAGGGGAAATGATTAGCACTGCAGAACAAATGTAGCGAAGGGGATCGCAGAACAATATTACGAATTAATCAATTTGTGGGGAAAATACGAAAACAGTTCCTGAAGCCATACCAGTAAATACTTTTGCTCTCGGTTTTAAACAAAAGACAGTTGGTATGATTTAAGTTTGAAAGGAGTAAAACCGCATAGGAGGCAGTGTTAAAGAATATCATTAGAAGCGGTTGGTAGCAGCTCATCCTAGATGATCATGTTTTCACTGGTGCATTTGACTCGATATTCTCCGGTATCATACATGATCCGACCCTTTTTCATACAGCTTTTCATCATCAAGTTGAATTTTTAAGATCCATTTCACTCTGTCCGTTGACAGTTAAGCCTTTTTCATTTTCTTGAACATGCAAAAATGTTCCATACATCTAATCTCTTTTGGCAGCTTACTCCATATGGAGCCATACCTAAGAAGATAGAAATTTCTCCTTAGGCTGGTCTTGAATTTAGGTAAATAGAATATCCATGCACTATCTCTCAGTATATAACTGGTATTTTCCTGAAATTCCATGATAGAAGTCATGTCTGTTGACAGCTGCAAGATAATAAGTATGTTCTTTTTTCCCAAACAGAGATTCGGTAATTCAATATCGCGGAATATGCTTGGAACCGACTGGGATTTCATGATTTCAGAAGGTTTGAATACAAACCCTACCAAAACCGATTTGTATTCAAACCTTCTGAACTCAAGAGATTCATTAATGTTTCACTCATACTCTGAGACCGATTTCTGGCGTCAGGATATGATTAAGATTTTGTAACTGGTAGAATGAGCCTTTCGCGTGTAACACTTCGGTCGCATGAAATGACTAGTCTGGTTTTGTCAGTCACATTCTGACTCTTCAACAAGTATCTGCATTACCATTATTTGTCCTTCAATTTTGACGCAGCTTAAACGTGATTTCTAGATTTACAGTCTTAATTCGAGCAACCTTGCTAACCCTCTCGTAATCCCATGAAGGTATGTTGCCTGCCGTTTGCGTACAAGAGACCGTTACTTTGCTTCCTGCAGTTACTGGGACGATGTAGGTGACTAGGTTGGCAGCGCCTTCTACAAGAATGTCCAGAATATTGTGTCTGTTAAAGGGTAACTAGGGCCAGTAGCGTTGCTGGACTTCTGCAGGGTGAGATTAACACTTAAATTCATAAGGCAATCACAACCCAAATGTGTGGAAACCTTCTGCCTTGGGATGTGTTCATAATGGCTATAAGCTGACCGTTAGGTTCCACATTGACTTGGTGGCTAATGCTATGATATGGAGTTGCTTTGTTACTGGATTGGGCCCGATTTACCTTTATTGCCCTATGAAGAAGTGTATGAGCAAGTTTGGTCATCATACGTTTGAAGCCTGTGTTAGCAATAAGTAAACTTCTCATCTTGTGGAATTTTGGGGCATGAGGCTCATCAGCAAAGTTCGAATGATTGGTGGTTTGGTGTTGCTCCTCCCAACCCTGAGACCGAGGTCTGAGTAGAGATTGCGAGTCGCAATCCAACCACACAGCGAGTACACCAAATGCCACTTGAAAGTTCGAATGAATTGGACATTAGCAATTGAACTTTGGATTTCTTGAACATATAGGGTGACAATATGGTCCACACTCAGTAAATGTATTAAGCAAGACGCGACTCCCAGCTTCCATGGAGTTTGGTCCGCGATATAGAAAATGACAATATTTTGAGCCCAATTATTTCTTCCCCGATTTTCTGTAGCACGAGGAGAAATGATCGATGCTGTTCCCGCCAAGTGCTTCGACCTATAATTAGCAAGTGTAGGTATAAAATGTGAAGATGATATCCATTTTTCATGCATCTGACTAATTTATTCGAGCTTTTCGTTTAATACAGCTGGTTCAATTAATAGCATACGATGTTTGCTGTTAAACACAAGTGTCAGCTTAGGCAAGTGAAAGGTGTTCTTGATTCGTAACTCTTGTTATCCGGCTCTCGCCTTTTTCCATTTTGTTCATTGCAACAAATCATGCACTTTAGTTAGGAGAATCAAAATAATCCTTAATGTCAAGGTTCTCAGTACTCGGTTTGCAAGTAGCCACAATTATTTTCGGGTGTGACGTTCTGGCGTACAAGAGCTTGAAAAACCCCGGTCAAGCTTGCCTCCACCACCTGAAAATTGACTGTAACACAAAACCGACCGGTCATCAGCTGAAACTGCTTACCCAATGCAGACTGGAACACCGTGGGAACTATTGCTGTCTTCGAATTTGTCAGCCGTGGAATGCTGTCTCGACATTTGGCATTACTGCGCCTCCGCTAATCATAAAAAAACTACTCTACGAAGCAGTACATTGTCTGTATAACTTGATTTGCATTTTGTTCTTTGAGATACGACAAGCCTCAGACAAACATTGTGCTCACCAATCTCTACAAAATCCGGGTAAACGGATTTTCTTGTCGGTTAACGTGAATATTACTGGGAGTCCACAGATGCGCTTTTCACTTTAGTGTCCCTGTTTTGAACTTAGGTACTTCACACAAACTATGGCACAGGACCAGGCTTGTCTTGTCGTCCCTATTATTCCATTATTTCATTGTTCCAACTTAAAATAAGAACTCAGTAAACCTAATCTTGGCATGACATGTTACTCGACCTGCATAATAATACTCGTGACAAAGCATGATGGCCGTAGGATACAAGCGAGCAGCAGGAGCTGTACATGACTGCGGGTCCAAGCAGATCGGCACCTGGTTGTGTGCTCATGCAGTGAGCACGGTTGTGGTGCATCGTTACAAATCCAGCCTGCACCACCGGATCACGTTCCCACGTGGAAGCGCTCATGCGAACCCACTTCATTTCAATGAGTTTCGCGTGAAATCTCAATCATTTTCCACACGGTGTTTAAGAGTGCAACACATGGTAGTTCGCACGCGTATGGTAGCCATAGGAAGCCATGTGATCCTCCGCAGATCCACATAAATTCGTCGACACAACGGCTCTACTCGATTTGGCTACGGTTGCGAAATCAATGATGAAATCACTTCACCGGTTTCTTCTAACCCTCATAATCCTTTTACACGTGTGGCTGACTGCGGCCGAAGTTACCGACAACCAGAAATCATTTTTGCTGCAGTTGCACAATGAGTTACGGAAGCAGATTGTTCAATGCATGCTTCCTGGTCAGCCTCCTGTGAATGGAGCCCTATTGGATTTGGTGAGTGCCTTACCACTTCTTTTCCTTACAGCTGAAGCTATGGCACGATGGCCTGGCTGTGAAGGCCGAGGAGTGGTCAACCCAGTGTTCTAAAGGACATGATGAACGAACCAAGAGAATTGTTGCTCCATTCCGTAGTGTTGGCCAAAACTACGCAGGCGGTTACCAGGTAGAAACGTGAGTTCACAGTGAAACCTCTTGAGCACAGCGTTTTGTAAACATTGTTATTCAGAGCTTAAATTCATTGTCCTGTGCTATACCTTAATCTCATTAAAATCGTGATGCTGCACCTGGCCGAATTCAAGCAGATCTAAAGACGATGCCGCAGTTATGCCTTCACACTGGAGTTCTTCTTCGCTGCCCCATTGAGTTGATTGTTGTGTTAACGATCAAAGTATCTTCCCCCAAAGCAAGCCCAAATCCCCTTTGTCTGCCTGGTCAAATCGTTTGATGAAAGTCTACAGCCAGGTAGGCGCAGATATTACCTTCTTCTCCGGAATGCGCTGCTGCAAAGCGTCACCCGCCCACCAAACTGAGACCGTGTCTAGTTCCTCCATTATCTCCACATCAACATTTCATTACGTATGATGCATCCCAAATTGACGAGTAAGGTACCGTTAGAGACTTCATTTCCTTACTAACTGTGTTGCTGAATTAGTCAAAGCACCACTGATCTCATTTCCAGTAATTCTTTTCAAAATGCATCTTTTACTACATACAGGTTAATAGCTGGGATTGGGTCTCACTATATACGCCTTAGAAGTCGATGTGTGCTGTACCTCCAAAACATACATGCTAGATTGCAGTGTTTCAAGATATCGTTACGTAGTGGCTCAGGAAGAATCCCAGTGAATACCATCTTTGTGTAGTCTCATACAGACATCCATCAGCTTTAGCAGCCGAAGTCAGAAAACGCAACACAGCTTTGTTTTGTTGGTCTGCTCTGTCGAAACGAAGTCCCATATCCCGACTGACTGCATTATCATCGCATATATATATGACCAGCATCAGCGTGTATTATTACGTTCAGAGAACATCTCCGTATGTGGCCACATGAGGTTTACTGCCCAGACCTTAACCAAGTGCTCAAGGACGCAGCTTGTTACTTAATATCAGAACCCACATTTCACTTACCAATGCATTAAACACTAGTTAGACTGACAGCTATCGATGAAGAAGGGATATAATTCATCGATTGCTGGTTCCATTTGTCTCAAATGTGTTATCAGAAAGACACCGGACGTCTCTAGTAGTTTGCTGATAATCAAAACAAACCTCTTCATCGACCAACTAGCTCCTACTAATGAGTCCTAATGTTGGTTAGGCAGCGCCTAAACTTGAATAGACATCTTATGGTGACGCATCTCACTATGGTCAGGGCTTATTTTCCTTCCTTTGCTGTCAACTTAATTTCACTGACTCGAGCTCGGTGTTTCCTTGATAGTACTCCGTTTGATCCATGCCACCCTGCTGGGACGCGTTGAGCTTCGCTCATACCAAGCCACAACAACTCTGCATCGTCCGTTTTGACCGTACAATTATAGCCGGCTCGTGTGATCGGCGTATGATTGGTTGTCAAAGCTACTAGTATAATGTCGGTTCCGACCACCAGCTAAGTGGCCAACATCACAACCTGTGCCTTGAAGGTGTATGAGTTGAGATACGTGTGTTCACTCGATGTGGTCCAGATCAATTTACTTATCCTTCGGGTAGAACCGCACCACACTTTCTTCAAACTTGGCTACCACAAACGTTTCACTGAAGAGGTCGCTGCATCTAACCACAGTCAGGAAATATAAAACTCCTCAAACATTCTCACTAAGCGAAAACGCTTAAGTTTGGGTAATCAAGCAGTTTATTTCAATGTTATTTCAACAATTTATATGAACCAACTGACAACGGTGCAGAATTTGCAATGGAATGCATTGTAATTACGAGTGCTTGACTGAATCCAAGTGCTTATGCTACAAGTGACTTAATATTGAAACATTTGACAACGGTTGCGTGACCGCGTGATCTACTAAAAAGTCGCAGATCAACTAGCCTACTGAGCCTCAATAACATTCTACGACACACAAGCTAAGATGTCTGGGTGTATATAGTTCTCCGACCTTTATAACTCATCCTATGCCTTGCTACAAGTTGTTTGATGACATGATGGACCGGTCGGTACATCAAGAAGTATTTTTTAACCAGTTAGAGCTGCCATATAAAAACAGAGTAATCGACTTTAATTCATTTATTCCGATAGCATAAATGCCGCCTATTCCTGATTTGCAATGGAAGCAATTGTGCCACACTGAACATTTGACATGAATGGACTGTTGCCAGATAATGAATGGCAGTAATAACGCGGGTTCCGGATTACTGAACCACAACAATCATCATCTATATGTAGTACAAATTTGCAGCTTATCGTTCGCTTCTAACTTGAATTCGCCACACATGAATTTTCCTGATTTGTAAATCCCATAATTTGGTGTCTACGTGGGCATAGTTGTTCACGTCAGAAAACAGGTTCAGGACCGTCCCTAAATTCTGCTAATACAGCTAATTAACACACAGATTCTGAGAATCATTTCAGTGTATGACCTTTATCGCGATGCTTTTCACCGACGACCTTTCCACCACAGATCCAGCATTTCAACGAAAATTAATCCACCTAACTTCTGCTGACCAGTTTTCAAACGGCCTCCGTCTACTTAGTCATTGGATGTTGTTCCAAATTTAGAAATACTGCTAAAGGGCAACATTTTTCATTATACTAGGCATCCTATTTGGTCCATCCATCTTCGGAAGCCTGACATGTGTGAGGCAAGGACGGTAAAACATGATCTTTCACCAGTAACTATAAAAATAATGGCAACATCCGACTGATCATCATCATCACGTTTGTCATCACCGTCGCTATGACGCTTCCATTGTCGAGCTCACTTTTCCCCATGTCTTGAGCCATTTAAAATATCAGCGATTTTCATCTCACAGACGCAAACACCTATGACTTCATAAAATCGCAACTTTCACATGACTGACTGACAATACATAAATGAAGCTCTGTCTTTTTGATTTAGAGCTACAAAATTGTGGGTGGATGAACATGCTAGTTACGATTTCGACACCGGTGCATGCTCGATTGTGGCATGTGGTCACTACACTCAAGTAAGTCCCGATGCTTGTTTATCGGTCCAATCTGGTTCCCTAACTACACATATCCAGGTTATTGACGGTTATTATGAGCCACTTTAGGGAACGTGTTAGAAGCTGTGTCGTTTGTGCAACACGCAGAAACGCGTAAACCACCTTCCATATCAGTAACCGGGGCAGCGTACGGCAGAATTGAATATAGCCCTACGGATGTATGACTTCTCCGAGATGTAGAAATTGTCCTTCGTCGCATCTATCATCATGGGTATAACAGAATGTCTAATGTAACTGCCTCACCAAGCGGTTCCTTTGCAAAGATTCACCCTGGCTGGACTGTCGCGGTGTTCCCTCTCCAGTAGTAAGTCCACAACAAGAGATGTTCGCAGTGTTGATAGCTAACGTGGTGTGAATGCTTTCAAATCACAGACATTAGCCGTGGTAACCACTAAACTAAGTTTAAACTGTGAAGCTTCTTACACCTGCATGATCACGCTTCAACGAATTAAATGACTGAATAACTTTACATGTTTAATGACAAGCGGTATCCAGCTCCATAAGCGGGAGCAAGCATTTTGTACACTGAATAGGATTCATGGTTTCTGCGACGTAACTTCATAATAGTAAAATTCATGCAACTACTAGAATTCCGGATCATGAATTTTCCCAAGTGGCCCAAACCTGATCACCTAATATGGAAAATGTACCGATATTTGTGTCACCATTTTCTAATTTTTGAGGCTCAAGAGTAGTAATAAGAAGTTGTTATAGGTTGCACCGACACAGGATTTGGTCCTGTGGGTAATGATTTGGAGTGGGCAAGTGGATTGTACGCAACCAGCTGCTCATATGTTATTTATACCAGCTTCCGTCAATGTTTCTAGAGACTTTTGTGAGCCAAAGATCTTCAACACATTTGATATAGTTAGGAACTTCTGTAGGGAATTTCGAAATGTGACATGACTCGCAGTCTTGCATATATGTAGGGGTAGCTTGTTCCACAGATCGGTATACCTCAGTACGAAGAAATTAGATCGAGTTTTATGACTTGAAAGCTTTGTGCGTATCAACTAGCCGACATTACATGTAGGGTAGACTGCTGTCTTCTGTAGGCCAAGTGCGGTGCTGTTTGCGTAAATTCGCTGGTTCTTAATGTTGAAGAAGAGAAGGAGATTGTTCTTTAAGCTTCTCAACCAAAGAGCATCCATTCAGATTCTTCGACTGTGATCATATTAACTCAGGTTTGGGCAGCGCCCCATGACCAGCTTGGTAAATGATCGCTAAACATTTTCCATATCTGTTTTGTCCTTTTTTCTCAATTGGGTGTGGAGGGTATTACAGTATGCCGAAGTCCGTTGTACGATTAGTATGAATGACTTAAGTCATGTTTCAGGCAGGGAGAAAGTTCTAGTGATGTATCCGCATAGTCGTCTCGTTTTTGCAACCTGATAAAGCACATGTTCGGAGAAATTGAAAGAGTTGGAGTATCTAATTCCTAATTCCCGAACTTAATCAGACGATGGGATCACGTTAACGACTAGTGTGCCAGAGCCTTCCTGAGTGTGGCATATATACACAAGTACTTGGGATTTCATTGCGGCCAACTTTATTAACAGACTTTCAATATCCATATTTAGTGCGGATGGGTCCTCATAGGTGCTTCACAGGCAGATTTGTAGTTTGTTTGGATTAAAGGAGTAGACCAGGTTAATGTCATCTGCAAACAGAGGTGTGCGTCCCTGTTCGCTCGGGTCACATATGTTGTGTACGTAGATTAAGAAAATTAGTGGTTCAAGTCTACATCCCTGGAAGATGCAGCTGGTTATTTGTTTTGGCGTGGAGTATTGCTGACCGATACCTAGGTTCGATCGTGCAGGTATGAGTCGAACCAGTTCATTAGAATGTTTCCAATGCCAAATGACTCTAGAACAGACGGCAGTGGCTTGTGCGGCATGCGGTAGAAGGCCTTTTCCATGTCCAACAGGATTGGGATGATTGAAATTCCTCCGTCAACCATAGTGATTAGAGGATGGAAA